CACACACACACACATATAAATAAATATAAAATGTTAACTCAGCGGTAGAGTTACTATCACAGGACACTGTACTTATTCGCAGTCACAAAAGTACATTATTTGCATCTGCTTTAAAGCATTACCGGTTAAATGTTTCATTCCCGCTCTGGTCTGATGTGCGCCTTTTCTGAGCGCCGCACTAAAAACCTGTCAAACAGCGCCTGATTACTGAAATAAGTTATATTTTGCGCTAATACTGACGAAACACACAAGGTTTACATATAGACACAGTTGGTTATGTCTAAAATGAAAGTAAACAGTTGAGAGAAAAATGGATGCATGCCTGTATATTAGATGCGTGCAGCTCTTAAAGGGACAGTACTAAACATGCAGCCTTCTGTCATTAAAGGGATAGTTCACCCTAAAATTTAATTTCTGTTTTTATTTACTCACTCACATGTTGTCCCAAACCTGTATTAATTTCTTTCTTGTGCTGAACACAAAAGAAGATATGTTTTAAGTAACCAAACAGTTGCTGGTTCACATTAAATTTGAATAGGAAAACATACTATGGGACCAGTAACTGTTTGGTTTTCCACGTTATTCAAAATACCATTAATGTTCAGCAGAAGAAATAAACTCCTTCAGGACAACTTTTGAGTGAGTAAATGATGGTATGAAAATAAAACACTATGACAGAATTGCCAGACAGGTGACATAATTTTTTTGGGGTGAAATATTCCTTTAACGATAATAAAACATCAAAACACAAAGAGAAAAATCACTGGCTATTCTTGACTGAAGATCTTTAAAACAGTTGTATTAGGAATCAGTCTATATAGTGTTTTATTTTTGTATTTGTTCATTCAATTTCGTGAATGCTACTGCTAAATACACCTATTGTACCTGAAAATAAAGCACTGTTTGTTTTATTTGTATATTTTATGTGTAGTTGTAATGTGTATCTTTGTTCTTATTTTTTAATAACAAAGATAAATTAATGACAAAGATTTTTATCTTCGCCCACTTTGGCATAAATAATTTTTTATTTTATTTTGTTACCTTGAAAGGCTTTGTCTTTATAATAGGGAAATTAGTTTGACTGTTATGTTCAGACAACTTGCAAAAACAAATCGTGATATGATATTTTTTTCCATATCGCCCACCCATATATATATATATATATATATATATATATATTGTTTTTAAATAAATTTTTTTCTGAATACGTATTTTTCTTGTTATTAAAGTTACTGACAAATTTACAGACCCAAAGTTTCTATTTGCAAAACCAAAATAAAGGAATATTGTCTATTGCAGATGCCATATTGCACCATATTCTTCTGTTTAAAGGATCCTGTTCACACGGCCCCGGCAAGCAACAAACAACATGTTTTGGACGAAATGTCAAACTATAGAGCCCTTGTTAAAGTGATATGTTATTTTTTTTTATATATCCCCCACACATATATATATATATATATATATATATATATATATATATATATATATATATTGTTTTTTAAAAAAAAAAATTCTGAATACGTATTTTTCTTGTTATTAAAGTTACTGACAAATTTACAGACCCAAAGTTTCTATTTGCAAAACCAAAATAAAGGAATATTGTCTATTGCAGATGCCATATTGCACCATATTCTTCTGTTTAAAGGATCCTGTTCACACGGCCCCGGCAAGCAACAAACAACATGTTTTGGACGAAATGTCAAACTATAGAGCCCTTGTTAAAAATATATGGATTGCTGTATGCTGGGTAGCATCCCAGCCAGTGTTGGGAAAGTTACTTTTGAAATGTAATAAGTTACAGATTACAAGTTACCCTACTTAAAATGTAATAAGCAGTGTAACTTTTCAATTACTTTATTAAAGTAATGTAACTGATTACATTTGATGACTTTTTGATGACTTTTCTAAATGTCTAATGCTTTCAATTGTTAATCATTTTCAAACATGTAAACCAGGCAGGGTTAAACTTACAATATGTGCTCAACACTGATAACTGTCAGGCATTCGAAATCCTTCATCACTTGAATTAAGATTGTAATATTTTCATTTTAAAGGAGACATTGGATGCAAAATATCTTCATTTGCATATAAATGTGTCTTAACAGTGTGTAGACACAACCACCCTACAATCATAAAAATTCACTCCTTTTTTTAATCCCCCAAAAACCTAAACATTCTCAATTATCAAGCCATTTTGATTTTGGAGTGAATACCAGCACTCTCTTCCACCTTCAATACCACGACTGAGGTGAGACCCTTGAGCAAGGCACCAAACCCCCAACTTTGTTGGTGTGTGGGTTCACTGCTGTGTGTGTGCACTTGGATGGGTTAAATGCAGAGCATGCCCAAATTCCGAGTATTGGTCACCATACTTAGCCACGTCACTTCACTTCACTTTCACTAAATTCGTTTATGTCTGGCTGCGCAAATCATTTTACTCCAGACTGCTTTCTGAATGAGGGACAATTCAAGGCAGGTTTTGATAAAAAGTTAAAACTCAAGGATGGATCAGTACCCGCTCCGCTGTTCATGATCCAACTGCACCTCCACAAGAAGTAAGTCTCACACTTTTTATTTTTGGCATTTTTGCCTTTATTGTGATAGGACAGATCAGACATGACAGGAAGTGAAGTGGGAGAGAGAGGGGGGTAGGGCAGGATCGGGAAAGGTCCTCGAGTCAGAATTTGAACACGGGACACCCAAAGCACAATAGCGCTGTATGTTGGCACACTGCCCACAAGGGTATTGGTGCCAACACACATTTGATTTTTTATGATTATTTGCGAATCGCGTTTGCTCTTCCACAGAAGAGAGGAGCGGGGTGAGCAGAGCTCATTAGCATGTAAAGAGATATGCACCGAAACGAGTCGCTGTGAACAGAGCTGTTTTTGACAAGGTAAAAAGGGTGTTGTTTTACACGATCACTGAGACCATTTCAAGAATACCCTAAAGAATCATACCAACTTGTGGAAAATGGGCATCCGGTGTCCCCTTTGAAGCACACCCACCACAAAATCAGACTTACTTTAAAATCATTCTGAGGTTAAATACATATTTAAAATAATAACAAGAAATAGTTTAATAGCTATGATACTGTTTTTGAAATCTAATCTTTGCATAGCTATGACCGGAAACACTGGAATCTAACAATGCCTTAGAAAAAAAAACAGTTAATCTTAAAAAAAAAATGCATATACATAAACCCTATTAGATAAGCATGTTATAAACTTCTAAAACATTGGTGTTTCATATTTTAGAGCAGTCATTGCAGTTTATGAAAGAACTCAATTAAATCTGTATGTGGGAGTGTGTGTGAAAAAAATCAGATGTAACCCCCTTTGTAATCCTTAACATTTTCTTAAGTAACTGCAATTTAATTACACATTTTTTCTTAGTAACTGTAACTGATTACAATTACTATTTTTTTGGTAATTAAATTACGTAATTCCGTTACATGTAACTAGTTACTCCCAACACTGATCCCAGGACATCTGCCATGTGGTGGGAAATGCATTTCAAAGCAACAGCTGCATTGTCTGGAATTTACTCAATGAAAACATATGGACATGTTTTATTTGAAATGGCACATATGTCCTGTTGTGTATCAACGAGAAACCAATGTTTTAGGTGAATGACCGATGACCTTCAACATTTGAACTGTCTTTTAAAAGAATCATATGAGCGAACGAGTCATAACAAAAACGACTCACTCAACAAAAAGAGTCCCTGAACGGATCAGTGAGCTGGTTCAAAATACTCGAGTCACTGAGATGAACCAAACGCCTCAGCGCTACCGAGCATCAGCAGATAGAATGGTTTTGGATAATCCTCGCATATCATCAGCACTCAGCAACGCGCATACGTCACCCCTCTCTTCTCTTGCAGACTCATGGACTAAACCAGCAGCAGCAGCAGCAGCACCACTGACAGCTCCGTCGCATCCTACTGCATTAACTGGAGCGACAAAACGGCACAGCCTTGACATTTAGGAAAACGTCCAGCCTAAAACAGGTACGATTTGCGAATTCGCTCGGCCTCTGAGTCGTTTTATATGATCGAGTCGCTCGCGCGCCTGTTTCATTAGCATTTGTGTATAGCCTGTCAGATTTATAACCGTTGCATTCATATAAGCCCAAACGCCTGTATACTGTGCTGTAAATGAAAGAATTGCTCCGCTGGGATTTGCACTTGTAGCTGCCATATCTGGATATGTCATGTTGGATTCAAGGCTATGTTTTGATATGATATTATTACGTAGTACACGTGACATGTCAAGGACGAGAGCGAGCAGTGTCCTGCAACAAAATGATTTATATTTTTTTGTATTTTTGAATTTTTAACGTCTTAATAAATAATAAATTTTAAGCTGTAATTGTTCACAAATCTGTCAAATTGTCAGGATTGTTTGTTCATTCAAAGGCAAAGGGGGCGAGCTATAATGTCACGACGATATGCATTGTTTCAGTTTTGCTTTAGTTAATAAGGTGATTTATATTCTGAGTTTTGGGCAATGAAGGGTTTAATTATGAATGAAGCAAATCTTAGATGATCTCACTATTATTATGATGCAAATTGCAACTAACATTAGAGCTTTTGTAGAACATTTTCCATCATATGTTAGAGATCAAAAGTGGACTGCCAAAAAAAAAATATTACTAGATTATATTAAAAATAATATTACTAGATAACGTCCCAGGTTACGTATGTAACCATGGTTCCCCGAGGGAATGAGACGCTGCGTCGGAAAACGCTAGGTGAACGCCTTCAGAGATACCAAGCTCTGAATCATATGTGTAATCAGTCCAATCGATGGGCGAGACGTCAGAGGCGGGTGACGTCATGACCAGGAAGCTTTAAAAGCACGTGAGGTGCAGCCGGCGTTAGCTTCTAGGAGTGAAGCAAGCTCTAGTAGGGAAGCCGGAATATGGCCTTGCGACGCAGCATCTCGTTCCCTCTGGGAACCATGGTTACATACGTAACCTGGGACGTTCCCCTTCGGGAACTCGAGCTGCATCAGAAAACGCTACGGGAACGAGATGTCCACGCCGCCAGACTTGCAAATCCCTGCCTAGTGTGGAAGAGCACAGCTATGGTAAGAGAACAGAGGGGTCTGGAGTGGCTCGCAAATCTAGGTCATAGAACCTGACGAATGTGAGGGGTGAGGGGAGATCAGAGGACTCACAGGCAACAGTAATGGCATTCACTATCCACCGGCTGAGGGTCTGCTTGGAAGCAGGATGACCTCTATTAGGGGGACCATAGCACACAAGCAGTTGGTCCGCTTTTCTCCACAGGGCAGCTCTGTGGACGTATGCATCCAGTGCTCGCACTGGACACATACAATTAAGCCTCTGCTGGTCGGGCTCCCTGGAGGGAGGAGGACAAAAAGCCTGGAGTACAACAGGCCATGGTGTAGAGGAGGGGACCTTAAGGACATACCCCGCACGAGGGTACAAAAAAGCTTTGGCCAGACTGGGCGCAAAGTCGAGATGGGAAGGGGCCACAGAAAGGGCCTGCAGATCCCCAACTCTCTTTAGAGAAGTTATAGCCAAGAGAAACACAGTCTTTAATGTAAGAAGACGATCTGATATCTCCTCGATAGGCTCAAAGGGAGGCCTACAGAGAGCATCTAGCACCACAGCGAGGTCCCAATGAGGGACACGAGATCGTACCTGTGGCTTCAGCCTCATCACACCACGGAGGAAACATTTAACCGGGGGGTCCTTGCCAACTGAGGGACCATCAATAGCTGCCACATAGACCTTCAGGGTGGAGTGGGTTAACCCCGCGGAGAAACAGGCCTGCAAGAACTCCAGCACTGTACCAATCGGGTAGTTAACTGGGTCAAGCAGGCGGTCTCCGCACCATGACCCGCCTGTGAGAGGAGATCTCTCCTGATGGGAATCTCCCATGGAGTGCCGTTGAGGAAAGAATAGATGGACCCCGTCCCGACGCACTCTCTCTAGAACTCCCGGGAGCAGAGCGATCGGGGGAAAGGCGTACAGACGAAGCCTCGGCCAAGTCTGTACCATAGCATCCAGCCCCAGTGGAGCTGGATGAGTCAGAGAGAACCAGAGGGGACATTGCGATGTCTGACAGGTCGCAAACAAGTCCACCTGAGCCTGGCCAAAAACTCTCCATATCTGCTTCACCACCTCGGGGTGGTTGATATAAAAGATCACCGCTGTGTTGTCGGTGCGCACCAACACATGGCGATCTCTTAGGTCTGGAAGAAAGTGTTTGAGGGCTCGAAACACGCCCAGCATCTCCAGGCAGTTGATGTGCCACGTGAGATGGCGACCACTCCACAGACTGCGGGCAGGGTGGCCATTCATGACCGCTCCCCAACCGGTGAGGGATGCATCCGTCGCTAGCGTTACGCGGCAACAAGGAGCTCCCAGCACCGGGCCCTGAGACAAGAACCAATGTTTCCTCCACATGTCTAAGGCACGTAGGCATTGCCGCGTGACCTTGATCATGCGAAGTGTGTTTCCCCTCGGGGAGAGCCCCTTGGTCTTGAGCCACCACTATAGGAGTCTCATGTACAGCAGGCCAAGAGCTATCACGTTGGACGCAGCTGCCATCAGACCCAGCAGCTTTTGAAACTGCTTGACAGTGAGTGACCGGCCTTCTCTGACTCTCGCGACTGCAGTGAGGATCGACTCGATCCGAGCAGGCGACAAATGTGCCTGCATCATGGTCGAATCCCATACCACGCCCAGATAAGTGGTCCTCTGTAATGGAGCAAGCACACTTTTCTTGGCGTTTAGTCTTAACCCCAACTCTTTCATATGAGCGAGAACAACATCTCAATGCCGAACCGCCATCTGCTCTGATTGAGCTAAAATCAACTAATCGTCGATGTAATTGAGTATGCGGATGCCCTGGAGTCGCAGGGGAGCCAGAGCAGCATCTACACACTTTGTGAAAGTACGGGGTGAGAGTGCTAGGTCGAAGGGAAGGACCCGATATTGGTAAGCTTTGCCCCTGAAAGCAAACCTCAGGAACTTCCTGTGACTGGGAAGGATGGAGACATGAAAATAAGCATCTTTTAGATCTATCGTGACGAACCAGTCCTCGGACCTGATCTGAGACACGACCTGTTTGACAGTGAGCATTTTGAACTTCAGATGCATGACTGAGCGGTTCAATAGCCGCAGATCTAAAATTAGACGTAACCCTCCATCCTTCTTTGGAACAATGAAGTACCGGCTGCAGAACCCGGACTCCCTGTCAAGAGGAGGGACCACCTCGATGGCCTCCTTCCTCACGAGAGTATTCACTTCTTGTTCTAATACCAGAACCTGCTCTGGGCCCACTAATGTGAGGAAAACCCCTTTGAAAGGCGGCGGCGGAGCGCCGAATTGAATGCGAACTGAAGCCTCTTTCTACAGTTTGCAGGACCCAACGAGATACATTTGGCAGTAGTTTCCACGCTGCTAAATAATCTACTAAGGGAACCAGTCTCTCAAGACTGGCCTCTGGTGTATTTGGAGCTGCTAGCTGGGTGCCCTGAATCGGAGGACCGGCAGGAGACTAGCTGCTCGAGAGACCCCCGAATGGGTGGCGAGGCTCTCAACTCCGCTACGTTCCTGGGCAGAAAATAGCGAGAGAAACACTCGCTGGAGACCGCTGCGCCCTGGAACACTGGCAGGGTTGGCAGAACGATTTCCTGAGAGCGCTGGGGAGAGACGGACACCGTGTAATGCGGTGCACCCCACTCTTCCCCAGTAGGGGTCGCCCTCAGCAGTCCTGGGCTTAAAATTGTCAGGACCGCTTCGTCGAGGGCTTTCTCGAGGGCTTCCTCGACTGAAGCACGACCCTCAGATCGGGCCTCGCCTTAGAAGCCCCTGACTTAGAGCGCCGCCGTCCTCGGTTCCGCTGCGGGGGAGCGCAAGAGGCAACGCTCTGCTTTTGGACCTCCCTATATGAGGAGCTGGTACCCGGCTGGGGCTGCTCCCGCCCAGCAGCCCCCAAAGCTATAGAACAGCGAGGGAGAAACCGCTGGAATGCCGCCGCCTGTTTACGAACCTCCTGGTATCTGTCGACGACGGAATTGACGGCGTCGACGAACAGACCAGAAGGCGCAAGCGGGGCATCCATAAGGCAGACCCTGTCCTTCTCTTTCATATCGGACAGGGTCCATAAATGCCTCTCCGTTGCCACCAGAGCTGCCATGGACTGCCCAGTAGCACGGGCGGTCTCCTTGGTGGCGCGTAGAGCTAAATCAGCGGTTCTCCTTAATTTTAAAATGTCATCTGCCTTGACTTGCTCGCCTTCATAAAGCTCTTTTAGCAGGTCGGCTTGGTACGCCTGTAACACTGACATAGTGTGCAGACACGCACCAGCCTGACCCGCTGCCGAGTACCCCTTGCCCACCAGTGCTGAAGTGGTTCGCAGCGGCTTGGATGGCAAGAACGGAGCCTTCAGAGACGATGCCGCGCCGGGCGACAGATAGCTCGCAAGCATCTGCTCTACCCGGGACATCACTCTGTAACCGCATTCACCCATCCCCGCCACATTTACATAGTAATCAGAGGCAGGGACGAATAAGCGGGCCGAGAATGGTTTCTTCCACGATCTCGACACCTCGGTGTGGAGATCGGGAAAAAAACGGCAGGCTCCGGCATGGAGGCTTAGCACGCAGAAAGCATTCATCGAGGTTACTCTTCTGCCGTTCAGCCTGTTTCTCTGCGGGCGCTCCGCTCCCAAGCAGACCACGCACAAACTGTGTGTATCCCCGCTCGTGATGTAGCGTGGGCAGGGAGGAATACACAGTATATAATGCGATCTGCTTTCGTCCTTGTTTGTCTTTACTTTAGACATCTTATTTTCTGCTTTATACTTTCTTTGCTGAATGCTCGTGTAACTTTTTGGACAGACAATAATAAATAAGACTCACAGAACATAGATCGTGACCGACACACACAGAGAGCTTTGCTGGATGACAGAAAGCTAACGCCGGCTGCACCTCACGTGCTTTTAAAGCTTCCTGGTCATGACGTCACCCGCCTCTGACGTCTCGCCCATCGATTGGACTGATAACACATATGATTCAGAGCTTGGTATCGCTGAAGGCGTTCCCCTAGTATTTTCTGACGCAGCTCGATTTCCCTCGGGGAACTAGAATGACTATTTCATTTGACTTCTGTTTATTAGTATTGAAATGATGACATTGTATTATCACTCACTTCCCCTGGAACCACCAGTTCTCAGATCATACCTCAATACTACATATAGATTAAAATTAGTAAACTGGAATATAAATGTATCTTTTACCATCACATATTTATGAAACCATTTATAATTTTAGGTACAATCAAAACTTATGTTCATTCTGAATAATAGACCTATATATTGAATGCAAATGTTTTTTTGTCTTTTTTTTTAATATGAGTTACTGACACCCATATTGAGTGAGAAAATGGATGAAGAAGCAGGTTGCACCTACACCTTTACACCTACACAATTTATTATAAATAAACTTTTTTTTCTTTAAGCTGCAGCCTGTTCTGTCCCAGGACTCGGACATCAGTGGTGTACACATGATGCAAGAAAAGAGGCACACCCATCTCTGCACTCTTTCTACAGCAGTCTTATCTTGTTCTTTGTTACTGTATGTAAAATGTGACCCTGCTGAGCCTCTATTGTTGAATTTTTAGTTTGTTAGGGCTGTTTTGTCCAAACTGTTGCGCATGTAATCTCTGTGGGTGTGTTGGTGGATTCCACAGAGGTCTACCTAGACATAGGCAGGTTTAGCGTGTGTGAAAACTCTTCTGCACAGTTGTTACTGTTGCCTTGAGGAACTGCTCACTCAAGTCCTTATTGATTTCTTGGACTTGAACTCATTTGCCAAGTGGGCTTTAGATTATGTCTCTTTCCCATGTATAAATGGAAAAAGGCAATTCATTTGTTTACAGCCAGAGGCCTTTCAATAGAATGTGATATTATGGTATATCAAGTACAGTGGAAAATAAAAGTTTCAGAATTTTCTGTATTTCTGCATAAACTTGACCTGCACGTGGATCACATGCTCATGTATGTCATATAACTACATAAAGAGAGTACATTAAAACAAATTATACTCTTTTTTTTGCTTATTTATTAACCAAAATGAAAAGAATTGAGTATGTGTGAATAATATTGTGAACAGCCCTTTAAAGATGACCCTTATGGGTGTTTCACCACACAGTGGCACCATTTTGAAGGCAACAGCTGAGAATGACTGTGCTGCTGAGATGATAACATTGGCTAAATATAACTCTGAGCTCAGGGAAGACCGTCCTTACATCTCATGAGTGATATTTAGCAAAATATTTAACAAAATTGTAGTTAATCTTACTGCAGAGTTGTGCCACATCTGTTTTGATGATCTGATCAGGGATCAGTTTATTAAAAATGTTTTATGGGATATATATATATATATATATATATATGAAAATACTAAATATTATTATGTTTTATATATATATATATTTTTTTTTTTTTTTTTCACACAACATAAAAAAATAATCTCCAATAAGAAGCAAATCCAGAAGGACAATTTAGAAATGCATGAGATGAGATCACAAATGTGGCACAGAATAAACCGTCCCTTATCCAAGCTTATCTTCTTATCTAGGCCAAGCATATTATGGCTGCTTCTATAATCTTTACATTGTTACTTGCTTGGGATTCCTATTGGTTAGAACAGTCTTTGTTCAAATGTTGATCAGTAATGGAATCATTTTGAAAATGTTTGAAATTTATGAATCTAAAAAGTTACACTACTGTTCTAAAATTTTGGATCAGTATTGAACGTTTCAGTAAGAAGTCTCATACTTACCAAGGCTACATTTGTTTGATTGAAAATACAGTAAAAACAGTAATATTGTGAAATATTATTATAATTTAAAATAGCTGTTAAAAAATAATTTAAAATGTATTTTATTCATGTGATGGCAAAGCTGTATTTTCAGCAGCCATTACTCTTCAGTGTCACAGTCCTACAAAAAACATTTTAATATGCTGATTTGGAGAATAGGAAACATTTCTCATTATTATCAATGTTGAAAACAGTTGTACTATTTTTGTAATACATTTTTCAAAGATTCTTTGATGAATAAAAAGTTCAAAAGAACATAATTAATTTGACATATCAATCTTTTGTTACATTATAAATGTCTTTTACTGTCATTTTTGATCAAATTAATCAAGTTTTGTTGAATAAAAGTGATTTCTTTAAAAAAAAAAAAACTGACCCCATACTTTTGAACAGTAGTTTACACTCCACATGTATAATTTCTAGCTTGTTGCATATTTTTAAGAAATGTAGGTTAAGAAAAAAAATTGACATTGAATGAAAACATATAATAATGTATATATCAATTATTACAAATATTACAATTATTATATATCAAAATATGAAATATAAAAAAAAATTACAAATATTATAATTATTAGATATTATTATAATATTTTAAATAGTGTCCATATAAAATATAAAAATACATTGCTAAAAATAAAAATGGATCATTGGATCAGGAAATGCTAAAATGGAAATGCTATCTTGACTGACTAGCATAAAAATATGTTATTAATAAATTTTAAATGTTTTTGAGAACCATTGGTTCATTGTGTAGCAGTAAGCAAATAAATATTTTAATAATTACGTTGTAATTAAAATGACATTTTAATGCAGCACTGAGTGATGTTTGTGTTCTTTCTGCTTTGATTCCATTTAGTAGGTATAAAGTGAGCTTATATTCTTAGTCACATGAGTTTTTTATGTTTAATGACTTGCAAAGCAACTGCATATCACAGCGGGTCTAAAAAAACATCTCTCTCTGTCACAGGCACTGCTATGTTGAAACGCGTTAGATATGACTGATGTCGAGGTGACATATGAAGACTTCATTGCTTCTGGAAGGACCGGCAGACGCAATGCTGTACACGACATCCTGGGAACCTCCTTCGGCCTGGACGCTAGCGGACTTTCCCAAACTCTGTCTGAGCTTAATATTAGCAAAGAAGGTGAGTAAAGTGAGTGTTGCTTCTTCAGAAAGAACATGGAGTGTCATCAAAATACTGCAGTAATGTAATATGGCACTGAGAGGCAGGCTAGCCATGAATAATGTATCAGACAAGCCTGCTTTGGGCAAACTAGAGAGTTTAGACGGCATGTTAGTGGCTTCCCGCACCAGTTTTTAGCTCAAGACAAACACGGATGTGCTTTATCAAATATCGGCCTGTTAGCTAAAGGCATCCCTGTGAAAAAGCATTGCAGCGATTGCTAAACAGCCTGCCGTGCTGAAGGTCTTCGAGTATTTACTCTTAGCTCTTTTTCATTAAAACCATCTGTCTCTTGTTTATGTTTTTGCTTTCACTAACAAAACTATATTTTTCGCTTTCAGAGGCAGGGAATGATGAAGAGAAAAGCCAGAGCTTGGCAAACTCCGAACCGAAGCAGGAAGAAGGCAAAGGGGAAGGTACATAAAAGACTTCAGTGACAGAATCAGGAAATACCCCCTCTAGTGGCTGATTTTAAAACTGAGCTTGGAGGGGTTGACACTGAAAAAAGCGGAGCATCCCTCTCGCTTAAGGATCCGGATGGAGGAGATTTTGCTTTGAGGAAGTTACTGTGAAAGGCTGGGCCTTAAGAATCACAGCACTGCTGTTTTACGACATGCTGATTTAGCTGATGTAGGTATGATTTTTACTTAGAAATTCGCTCTAGTTGTTTGGTACTTAGAGCGACTGGTGGGAATTTGGGTCAGAAGTAATGACATTAGAATGGCGAAGATGCTCCTTGGAGATCTCATGGATCTTATTTGGAACGACACCCACTGAACTCATGATTTCGGATTCACCAATTAACTGCCAGAGTAGCACAGCTAATACACACTCAATATACAGTCATTTTATTGGTGTAGTGTTGTAATAGTAATATCAGATTTTGATATTAAATTGTGCTGTCTTTGATATCACGTTGATATTCACATAATATAAGTGCTGCACTTTTGTTAAACACTCACTGAATTCAGATAAAACTGTCTATGATGGTCTTGCATGGCACTGCTCCTGATAGAATACCTGTGTGTAACTGTTCACATCCCACAAAGGACTAATCATTTGTGATCCGAACCTTTGCAGTGTGTGGTGATGCTAATTTCTTGACTGTTTTATGATGAAAATTCTTCTTGTATTATGAAATCTAGCGTGATTTGAAGTCTCACTGACACTGCCTATTAACCCTTTTGAAAATCTGTTCAATAGAGCTTGCCTTACAAAACCTCTGCCCATATTTTGTCTTCCAGTCATTAGCTCTATGTCCTCAATTTTGCATACATATATTTGATGATATTTTCATCTGTGGGTACGTAAATATTTGAATAAAATCAAGCAAAAAAAAAAAAAGTTTTGTTTTTTTTTAAATTAATTTCTCTGTGTGTGTGTGTGTATATATGTATATATATATAATATATATATATAATACTAAAATAACACATCTTTAAATTAACCTTTATAACCGTTTTTTCAATAGCTTGAAAAAAGCTTCAAAAGAGCTTATGTTGATGTGTGAAGAAACAGAAACATCAAAGAAAATCATATTTGTCTTTTTATTTATTTACAATCATTTACAATTGTCAAATAATTTAATTGCATGCCTTTAGGATACATAAAATTGATAGTCTTAGCAAGACAATGGAGCATGTTATTTTATTACCAATAAAAAAAACAGGAAAAGGGAAAAAATTTAAAAAAAAAAAAAAAAAAAAAAAAAAAAAAAAAAAAGTTTTTTTTTTTTAAATTAATTTCTCTGTGTGTGTGTGTGTATATATATATATATATATATACACAGTGGTTATAGAAAAGAATCACCCCCCCTTTAAAATAATCAAATTTTGTTGCTTTACAGTCTGAAATGAAGATGGACACAGTTTTTGTTTTATCCAGCTGTATTTACTCAGTGCAACTTCTAACATCCAAGTGAAAGGTATAACATCATTATGTCAGGAAAAAAACTGAATCACTTAGGCCATGTCCACACGTACACGGGTATTTTTAAAAACAGAGTTTTTCTTTCTTCCGTTTAAAAAAAATCTCTGTCCACATGAAAACGCATACGCATGCTATGATGCACTGTCAACAGCATGCCTAACCAACAGGTGGCGATATAATCTCAACCGTAAAACCATGTTGGCCAATCAGAAGCCTGAAAAAGTTTCCAGTAGGCGGAGATAACAGCACAGCCTCTGACGTCACATGCCAAAAGCTCCGGTTTTGCTGTCTATACGATAACACTGCAACCAGATTTTTTAAAAATCTTCACCCTGGCAGGTGTTTTCAAAAATATTCGGTTTTAGTAAACAGGGGCCTCATTAATAAAATGTTGCATATAAACCGTCCTAAATTTGTTCTAAGTTAATTTCTCAAAAGTGCGTAAGTGCGATTCAGAGAAAACGAACGTGCGCACAAAAACATGTGCGTACGCCTCTCTTCCAGATGTGACATTTATAAATCGCAAATGATCTTAAAATTGTGCGCAGCTTACTGGTGTCAGATCTCCGCCTTGTAAACACCCCCTAATTAATATCATTACCATATAAAAGAGCACACGCCAATATCCGATTTTCTATGCTTGAAGCACAAGCATAGAACACAAGCACGAGCACAAAGAAAAAAAAATTTGAGGTCCTGCTGGCGGATGTAGAGGTTCGTGCGGGGACGCTTTTTATTTAATAATGTGTAATTATTCTGTGGACAAACAATGTGTGTGTGGTTATATTTTTTTCTGTTGACTATTATCAAAATGACTACTTCTAGAAACAACAGAAATAATAATAATAATAGTAATTATAAAACAATTAGGTTTCCAAAAGTACGAATTCAAGTAAAATTTTCTGTCATGTTATAAAAAGTGAGCCATCCTACTTTTAAAATCACTTGTTATGACAACTAATAAAACGTTTAGTATCACGAAATTCTTGAAAAACTAAAAAAAAACATTACTGAAAGAAAAATTAGACGTTTCATATCATAATAAAATAAATTATTACACGATTATGGTCTCCGGTCTGAAAAAAACCTGCATGTGATTTGGCATTTCTTTATATTTACACAGTTTACTAATGCTGCTCAAATGTGTCGGAGATGCGTTTATGCAATTTTTTCTATTTTACGCATTAGTAGTAGGCTAAAACAAGACTTTGCAAGTTCTCTTGTAAAATAAAATAAAAGAGATAAAAAACAACATGGAATAAACCGTGTACAGAAAGCGATTAAAGAACTCTCAACATTAGGCTACTAAAAAGGTCAGTTTAATCTTGCAAAAACTCCCGTTAATAAAAAAAACTGACTACACTGCACAATTTATATCTTGCACTGCATCTTTATTGTTTATGATGAATTCGGTGCTTGCACGTACACCGCTTTTATTATTATTGCAGCTTAGATGTTCAAATAGCTGCAGTACTCCGACTTTGCCACAAGGAAAAGTGCGTACGCCTGCTCAGACCCTGACGTGACGGTAAGTACTTTTCCACGTCAAAGACCGTTTTTATAAATATGAACGTTGCCGTGGATTTTAGCGTACGCACGCGCTATGATCAAATCTGTGCGTACGCACGTTTTATAAATGAGGCCCCTGGTGCTGCGTTTGCATGTGGACGAATGGCCAAACCGCGTAGAAAAAGCTGCGGCTTTAAAAATAACCGTGTTCGTGTGGACAGGGCCTTAGTTGGAAAAATGATCACCCCCTTCTAAAAATTACTTGCAAACTCAATCAGGTGTAGCTAATCACCTTCTCAATGGCACACAAAGCCATTTGACTTTCAGCTGTGGTCATTTTGATTAGCTCAGCATGAAAATAGCTCCTTGGCCCTTGGTAGTGCAACTGAAGCAAACAATCAACTATGGGTGGCGAGTCACTGTCAAAAGATCTCCGGGATAAAGTTGTGGACCGACACATGTCAGGAGATGGATACAAAAAAAATTCAAAGGCTTTATCAATTCCTAGAAGCATAATGAGAAAATATTGCAAAGTCTAGATGTGCAAAGTTAGTAGAGACAGAGACCTATCCCAACAGACTAAAGGCTGTAATTAATGCAAAAGGTGGTTCAACAAAATACTGACACAAGGAGGTGATCCTTTTTCCAATTCAGTGATTATTATATATATATTTTTTGACATGTTGGTGTTATATATTTCATTTGTAAAAGTGTTCACAGTAAATACAGCTGGATAAAACAAAAACTGTGTCCGTCTTCATTTAAGGCTGCAAAGCAACAAAATGTGTTTATTTTATAGTGGGGGGATTCTTTTATATACCCAAGGTAACACTTTACAATAAGGTTCATTAGTTAACATTAGTTAACTATTTTAGTTAACATGAACTAAGCATGAACAATGCTTCTACAACATTTATTAATCTTAGCTAAGAACTGTGTCCGTCTTCATTTCAGGCTGCAAAGCAACAAAATGTGTTTATTTTATAGTGGGGGGATTCTTTTATATACCCACGGTAACACTTTACAATAAGGTTCATTAGTTAACATTAGTTAACTATTTTAGTTAACATGAACTAAGCATGAACAATGCTTCTACAACATTTATTAATCTTAGCTAAGGTTAATTTCAACATTTACTAATTCATTATTAAAATCAAAAGTTGTGCTTGTTAACATTAGTTAATGCACTGTGAATTAACATGAACTAACAATGAACGACTGTATTCACATTAACTAACATTAACAAAGATGAATAAATACTGTAATAAACGTATTGTTCATTGTTTGAACATGTTAGTTGAAACATTAACTAATGGTACCTTATTGTAAAGTGTTACCTTTATATTTATGAATTAATGCGGGGAAAAGACCCTCGGCACTGCACGCCGGTGAGCTGCAGGTCTCACGTCAGGATCTAGCAGATCAAGGGTGATTGTAATTAGACAGTGACATCGGCTGGCAGTGGGATGCTTGTAATGAGGGCCATGGGGTGGTCTTATGTAGAGACAGAGTGAGTGAGAGAGAAGCGGAGATATCATGCATTTATGTTTTATAAGGATTACCGGCAAAGGTCAGGCTGGAGTCTTGCTGATGCTCAACATCTATATAGAGAACAGAGTGCTAAACAAAAGGAGGACAGAGAAGCTCAGGAGGAGACAGCTTGACTCTGCTACGCTACAGTCTCTGACAGGCAGGACTGACTGCTTGTCTCTGTGCATATGGGTGTGAGGCCAAGAGGTACAGTATTGGTTGGAAGTAGGGCGGCAAAACTTTGCCACGCTTCAATGGTACTGCACTCTGAAAATTAATTAATATGCTCCACATAGATTCAAATGCTACTATAATTTTTTTTTGGCAGTGAATTGTTAAATTAAGCATTTTTATCTCCAAATGGTAGCTTTGGGGTAAAGTGGGCCGCATGCTTCAAGTAAAAATGTGTAAGCAACTAAAATGAATGTCTTTCTACTTTAACTGTAGAAAATAATGTTACATGCAATTATACACTTGCAAAATTTGATACAAAAACAAAAATGGCTTTACTACATAAAAATTGGGAATATTAAACATCCCACAACTTGTTAATTTGTTTCTCCATTTTAGTACATTTTGGCAGCATTGTACTAATTTTTTTTAACTTAATTTTAATTTAAATTAAAAAAAAAAAATGTGTACAAAGTGGCCAAGATTTATTACAACAAGGGAGCAAATTAGTAAAACATGGCCACTATTTACTAAAATGAAGGAAATTATTCTTAATTCGATTAACAAAAATTAAGATAATTATTTATTATGAAGTGACGTGTGGCCAAGTATGGTGACCCATACTCGGAATTAGTGCTCTGCATTTACCCATCCAAAGTGCACACACACAGCAGTGAACACACACAAACCATGAACACACACCCGGAGCAGTGGGCAGCCATTTATGCTGCGGCGCCCGGGGAGCAGTTGGGGTTCGGTGCCTTGCTCAAGGGCACCTCAGTCGTGGTATTGCAGGTGGGAGAGAGTGCTGTACATTCACTCCCGCCACCTACAATCCCTGCCGGTACGAGACTCGAACCCACACTCTTTGGGTTATGAGTCCGACTCTCTAACCATTAGGCCACGACTTCCCATTATTAAAAAGAATTAGAAATATTTTTTATCGCATATCATTATATATATATATATATATATATACAGTACATACATACATACAGTCGTGGTCAGAATTATTGGCACCCTTGGTAAATATGATCAAAGAAGGCTATGAAAATAAATCTGCATTGTTAATCAT